GCTTATATTTTGATGTAATGTATAGGACCTATGTAAAGTCTGACATCATGTAGCAAAGTTCTTCGCCGGAAGCGAATGTTCGCTTAGAATGTTGAGAAACTCCACGCCTTTAAGAAATCGGAAGGTTCATTACCGTCCTCACAGCCGCCGGTCACAGCCCTGAAGCAGATGAATTCAGTCACCAATCAAAAGCAGTAGTTATAATTGACTTGTATGTATGAAAATTTTCATAGTAGACGCACTATACCAAACTTAATCGGTATATCCTCAGTACTTATTCATATCGAACTTTCGAACATACGGACATTATCATGTCACTTTTAGTGCACTTCGTGGAAATATCACATAAAAATTGTTTTTCTGTTGGAGGATGTCACTTTGTGACGATATTTCAGCACCTCTGCTGTGATGTGTGAACACTCCGAGGTCTTCCTGGATATGGGGGTCAGGCGTTTTTTAAGTTGTTGCAGAAATAGAAACACAAACAGGAAGAGAACGTGACTTATGAAAATGATGATGACCAAAATACATACTGGCCACGTGTTTCCTGCCATCTGGAGGCCATGATGTAATAACAGTGCTGCAAATCCTTTAGCGTATAATCCACGCATGCGTACATATAATTGTCTGTTCGTGTCAAATGACCGCGTGCCGTGTATGAGAAACTTTCTAACAACTTTATAAATATTATTTGTACCATCGGCGATTTGCGTGATATGGCAACGTTGTGACACTGGGGCTAAAAGACTATTACTTTCCGTGAAACCAATATGACTTGCCAGATAATGTCTGAAGCATGTTTTAGAAATCATAGTTAAGAGACTTGCCACCAGAGGTATTATCTGTCTGCTGTAAAGAAGCACAGTTTCCAGGGCGACTAAAATTTTCACCTGTTTCCTATCATTATCTGTATCTGTAAATTTTTATAGCCCTTTTCTAACGACTGGACTTACTTTTACTCTCTTGATCATGCGAGAGGTATCGTACAAATGTCCGAAAGAGATGACATGTCCGCGATTAATCCTGAATGTTTTGATACAGTTTTGAAACTGTTGTGTGCTAATGTTTCAGGGATGATGTTTTTTTGCTGATATCGATGAGGACCTAATTTTATGCGACTAGTATTTAATATCGTAAATGCACGTTACATATTTTGTTCTATTTTTTCGATGTTATGTGTTAAAAGGCGTGGCTGTGTGCTTAGTCAAGCGTAGCTCATTATAATAACTACGTCTTATTTTTATAATTTTGATTGTTTAATATTTTAACGAAGTTTGTAGGAAGTTGGCATTTTTCCTGGTGTGCGTAATTGTGTGTGCATACATTGCATAAATCATTACATCAGAAGAATCTTGAGTGACTGAGTTTTATTGTCATACATTTCTTTGAGAAGAATGCTAATTTAGAACCATGAAGTGTGCCTTTCCCATGTAACCTAGGTTACCGAAGTTTGGCAAACAAAAACAGTTTTCGGGAGTCCCAAAAAATAAGGTTTATTGATTTTATGATTTCACAAGCCTTTTCAAAGAATTTCCTGCACTTTAGAATGAAAATTAGACACAAACTTCAACCTGAAATGCTGTTGCTAAATTACAGATAATATGAAACGAGTATTAAAATAACAATTGTATGTTTGTATTTTGTATGGAATTTTACTCTGGCACTGATAAAGTAATTTTCCTCTTATAATACACTTGATACATCGTCGTCAAGTATCTTACAAGCTGATACAGCATTCTCTTCCAGTTTACAACCTATAAGTCTTTTAGAATCTCACTCGACGTTTTACAGTACTTTTGCTGATGGGTTAAATAACATACGAAGCAGAAAGTTTTTGCCATTGGAACTAATAATCGCCATGGGTTGGTTGTTGTTTTAGTGTCAACTGCGTTTTACGCGGACGTGACGTGTTGTAGAGGGAGTGATCCTGCCCTCTGTGAATCATACCATGAACTGCGTTATACGTCAAGATGGCGTTGTGCGTGTACAGAGGAAGCTTTCTGACGATCATTCCCAATATGAATCGTACTGTAACTTCGTTGTACAACCTCATAACAGTGTTATACGTGTTACAGAGGGAGCAAGGATCGAATTGGGGTTGTAATCGCGGCTTACATGCATTACTCCAGTATATGCGGCAGTGCCGACCAGGCCCTAGACAGGTTCGCCATGAGTCGTTACCTGGAGGACAAGGTCGGGGACCTGGAGCAGCCCTCGCACAAACGGTGAGTAATGATCCAGCCCAATCCATCGGGGAAAAAAATTCTACGACTGTTGGCAAAGACGGGAACTGTAGAAAACACACTAAAGGCGTTTTCACAGTTTAGGTTAGGACATGATCAGTTCGTTTTAGACCAAGTACAAAAAGTATCCTTCCAATAAAAATACTATTGGGAGGAGAAAAATCATTTACACTAGGATGTTAGGTCCGGTCAGAACTAGGGCAGGATACCGTGAGGAAGGAGGTAACTATGTGTCCTCACCCTCTCCTTCTTATCGCCATTTCCGATGACAGCCGAAGTCGGCTTGATTTGGTGGCTGATGGTAAAAGAGTATTTATATATGTGCTTGTAAAGATATTTATACGAAAACAATTAAGTTTCTCGTAATAACCGTAAGGAAAAAATCCCAATTCATATTGGTTTTCGTTTCAAATGTGTCCCGACGTCTGAACTATTATGTATTGCCATAGAGTGTCATGGCAACTGTAATCTCCTATTGTTCTCCTCCGTTGGTCTGTAAAGATGACATTTGATGATACTTGTGGGTTATCGGGACACATCGCTTTAAAAATAGATTAGGTTAGGTTAGGTTAGTTGTCATTTATTGAAATAAAATATAATAACTTTCAAGTATACATTTATCCACACACATTAACCTAACCTAACCAAACCAAACCAAACCTAACCTAACCTAACCAAACGTAACCTATCCAAACCAAAGCTAAACTAACCTATTTTTAAAGCGATGTGTCCCGATAACCCACAAATTCCCATTTGATTCTGTTCATGTGTACCTCAGAATCTGTCATTAGTTGGTGTGATCATGTGGTGACCCACAGATATGTAGAGTACTTCTCGGGACTGCTGTCGGGGAGTATCAGAATCAACTCTGCGCCGTTGTACCTGACGCACGTCACTGTGTTGGGGGCTCCAGCCTTCGAGCCCGCGGAGGAACGAGAGGGGAGAGCTGTTGAGGCTGCTGGAGGCTGTCGGGCCTTCCTCAAGGTACGTTGGTAGTTGAACAAGTGTAGTTGAGAAATTACTGGCTTATAACTGCGTGTTTGTACTTAATAATCAGACACTAACACCTCGTTTTTGATGAAGTTTTGCGTTAACTCATTTAGAACATGACAAGGTTTAAGAGGTGAGTCTTATTTTTGTTTGTTTGTTATTTAAACACTAGAGTGAGATGTTTGAAAAAGGAAGTTGTGCTTCTGCACAAGATTTATTTCGCTTTCTCGAAATTAAAAGCTTTTTTTGTCTTTTTGCAACAGAATAACAATAAGGGATTTTTAATTAAGGATTTCGGTTAAAAATCTTCCACTCTTTTGTGGTGAGTATTTGAGATGTACCAAGAGGATAAAGTAGCCTTAATTGCATACAGTGCCATAAAAATAAAACTTTTCCTCGGTACCTGCTTTACGTAATGATGTTTATAGTGGCACATATGGACCATTCTTCACCGTATATTGTTTCATCTGCCAATTCATTGCGTTTTGATTTGGTATGGGATAACTGACGCATTAAAACCGCCACGGTGGTCTAGCGGTCAGAACGCTGGCCTTGTAATCCTGGGTTCTCGGGTTCGATTCCCGGCGGTGCCCGAATTTATAACTTGTGTTGGGCAAGGCCGTGGTCTAGGCATCACGGAGTTTTCCTCCGGGGGCTTCCCCAGTTTCTCCGTGGCATCCCAACAATTACTCCATTCACACAGAAGAAGGCAATGGCAAACCACTTCTGGACCATCTGCCAAGAACGTATATGAACAGGTCCCAGTCCGAGAAAAGGATGGAAGGATCCTGTTCATATGGACCTGTCGTCAGACAGAACACTAAATAAATAATAATAATAATAATAATAATAATAACAACTCGTGCATTATTTGTTGCAGGTATATGAGGGTCTAATCCCTGTATATACGTCAGGTGTATACAGTGTTTGTGGAGGGACCCGGCAATTCACGGTAAATGTCGCGAGTGAAAGGCAGAGGAGGGGTCTGCAACTGAGAGGTGACATACTACTCAAATGTTACCACAGGCACTATAACCCGGTGCCCACCGGGTCACCCAGCACCCATTCCCCAGTCATTGCAGCCACAGAGCGTCCTCAGAGAGAACTCATCTTTGCCTGTCAGTTCCATACGTGTGCAGTGACTGACTATACCCTGAGCTTCACACGACAGGAACTAGATTTTGCCTGCAGTGGTTAGTACTGACTCAAGGAAGCTATTCGAATTTGTAATACCGAGTTGACATTGGGAATTGGTGTTGAATGGCTGGAAATATACGACGAATCAATGGATAGAGGAAGCCACCGCGCATGCGCAAACGGATTGTTTCGATGATGCGCGGGAGGTATGCGCAAACGGTACTTTCCGAATACACCTCGTAGTTCCGTGAGGAAACGAGGAAAGTCTGTTGGAAAATTATTTGGTAAAACATGTATGATAGGAATATAACATTAAAAATAGGTATAAATCGTGACATGGGGAAAACGATTGAAGTGAATCGGCATCATGTCTAGTGATGGACTTTGACGCTCCCGTTGTTGTGTCTTGGTTTATGTAACAAAATTGGAAAATTATTTGGTCAGTCAAGCTTTCTTAGAGTTTGCCGGTTTTTATCTTAAGTCAGGAACATCACAGAAATTAAATAATGGAGGAATATACGAACATTCATAGTGAAAAGCTTAAAAATGTCCGCCTTGTAAATTATTACTAATAATTATAAATATTTAATTGATACAAAACCTTCCATTACAGCCAATGATTATTAAGATATCGTGAATGTTGAAAATAAATTAATCTTCGTCTGAAAATGGCTGTCTTATCAGATAAACGCTGTGTAATCAGGTAGATATTGACGAACGTTTGAGGGGAGCTTACTGCCGTCATCGTCAATTTAATGGAACGTGTCAGTATATCTACTAGACTGCATGGTGCTACATTCCGGCAGAGTCATCTTCATATCTTTATTCTTGTTACTAATTCTCACCAATCCAACCTGTTTGAAGGTATTATTCCTTATTTTCTTGAAGATAATCAGGAAATCCTCGGTCAGAATAATTTGTTACGGAGTCGATATTCAAATCAGGTGCCTCCTAAACACAAAACTAGAAAGTTATTTTTACGCTAACGTACTCGGTGCTGTGGTGTGACATAAAAAAGCCATTTTCCGCATCTGCAGATCTACGATTCCCTCTGGATGGAGCCGTTGAGCTACATTTCTCTGCCACTCCTGAGATACGCCTGCCTTCCCCTGCGCCTACGCCTGCCGTCCCGGTAGATACAACTGATGATCCAGTGACAAGGTGGGACAGCTACGAGAACTTAGTGGCCTTGGGATCACCGTTAGATGGCGACACCGACATCGAAGACACAAATGGTGAGTCTATATCAGCATGAAAATAAACAGGTAGCCCTCAATTTACGCGGGCGTAAATGGAATCAGCGTAAATTGAAACTCTTTTATAATGAAAATCAATGGGAAGTCAATGACATGCGTTTCCAGCACCCAAACATTGACGAGTAATATAATGACATTGCATTTAAAGCTCTGAAATAATGTAAATAAAATAAAGGGAATTTAAAAAACATTTTACACACTTACAATCACCAATTCGTTGGTCCTAGCGATTGACTGTGATTCTTTCATGTGTTTGATATATACAGTCATCTCTGCTGTTATGCGATAGTTGCATTCACGTAAGACGCCGGCCTATAGAAAATCGCGTAGTAAAAATAACCCCGGTATCTCCGCAGAGATTAAATTAGTCCTTCGGAAGTTTAAAACGCCAGGAATGAAATTGCATAAGATCAAATTCGCATATGAAAAAGTTTGCATTTCACAAACAGCTTTTACCGATTCATCGATCTCACTGGAGCAAATTCGCGTTTACTAAACATGCGTATTTGCGGAGATGACTGTATTTATAATTTTTATTCAAAATTAGCGATGTAAGAATTACGATTTAGTATAAGAATCAGTACGAGAAACATTGTAAAACGTAAATAATAGTTTTTTTTCTTTTTTTTTCTTTTTGACTTTTTGACTTTCTGGTGTCAAAATCGGCGTTATTCTGAATCGGCGCAAATCGAGGACTATCTGTGCTGATATCTAGACAGCAGTATAAACGCAGTCATAAATAATTTACATCATATCAGGCCATACCATAATTAAAACACTTTATTAGGACCTTAATATGGTTTTTGATTTCTGTAATGTGTGTCGCCCTCGTTGATTCGCTGCCCGAGGCAAATGTCACAGCTACTAAGTTCTGGGCCTTTATAATATATAATTAAGAGTGTGTTAAGTTTATTATGTCCTTTGGAGTATCACATTGTGTCGTCTCATAGAAGTTGACCGGAAGTTGATCGTCCTAGTTCTCATAATCGTTAATAAACAGGTGACGGCCGGTAAATTTAGTACAAATTTTGTTAATCCTACCTCATGTTTGACGTAAATAATAGTTTTTGTGGCTATAGTTAGAGATTTTCTAACGAAATTTTAGCTTGTTTCTTCCGTCCTGCAAGAAACTGCCATAATCCTGTTCGTTCTCGTCCAAGTTGACAGACGAAGGCAGTTGGCATGTTCTTCGCACAAGAAGTTAGGTAGATCATCACAAAGGCACAGGAAATGCCGAGAAAGTCATTAACACCCTTCCATTAGCAGAAAATCTCTTTAGTGTGAAAGGAAAGATTTTTCACACGCAGATGCCAAATGAGCAAAGTGCTTTCTTGCTGTATTGAAGTTCACATCAACGATCTTGTCAAACCCATGGAATTTACATCTGTACCCAAATTGCATTTATAATTTCGTGATATACGATTTTCTTGGTCAGCTGATGAAAATATTTCCATTACGCGACTCATCTGTTACGTACTGGTGACGTATTTGCATTTGGATCGGCGTTGATACACCGGCATATTTTACATTCCCGAAAGGAATCCAGAATTTCATTAAATGTCCGTAGACGTGTTGTATGAATCACAATTGTCGACAAGAGTAAACCATTCACTCATTCAACCAACTAACCAAGATATTTTTAGTTATATTTGTTAGTTGGTCGAAGCGTGCAAAATTTTGGTTGAAATGCCCGTAGGAAAGTGGTTAGAAGATGTGGATTGGATTAATCTGGCTCATGACCTACGGGTAGTTGGATTTTGTGAACACGACAATGAACCTTTGAGTTCTGTAAGAGACGGTGAATTTATTAACCAGCTGAGCTTATTTTATGTACTCGAGAAGGAGTTTGACCAATGAAGACAGTTATTTTGTCGATCGATAGATAAATAAATCGGTCGATTAGTAATTCAGACAGTCGTCTAGTTCTCGATTCAAGAAAGGATCTGGCACACAGGCCACGAGTTTTCCCCCAAACACGCGTAGCTACGTCAGAATCCTCCTTGTCCACCAGAGGTGCCGCCAGTTCCGGTTTGAAGACAATAGAAATGTGAAGCAGTGCTGCCGGACCACTTTCAAATACCCATGTCAAAGAATGCTCTTGTGGTAATATAAAAGCATCACACTCTTGTCTTACTTTTGTCCAGCATATCAGGTTTTTACGGGATTCCAGAGACATTTATTTCTACACTGGCGCCACTTATCGGTGCCATTATTTTCGTAATAATGTCGGGTATTTCAAAGAGTTAAAAACCTTGTAACTGTTCTGTAGGTATGAAGAGAGAGAGAGAGAGAGAGAGTTTGTCTTATTTATGCCTAGTGCCTGAATTCCAAACCGTAAAAGTTATTCAGGTGAACTTTTTAATCGATCTTTTTCAAGTTCCGTAACTGAAACGAGAAGAACATCTTTATTCACGTATCGTAATTTTTAAGATTCATTCACTATCGCAATGAAAACATTTTTCACGTATTAAAATGGAAGTACTAATGAGGCTGATAACACAATCAAACCCGATTTGCCTCGTATTTCGTCAGCCTCATTTCACACATGTCAGATGTATTTATAGCAACCTTTCCGACCTACATTTCACATAAACTGATTATTGATCATAACTAATAATACTCGCGTGTCCCTATTTATAAGGATCACGGAGATTTTCGCCTGCGGACGTGTCACGGCTTGAGTCACCTGATTTATACGTTGAGGTTATCTTTAACTCGCGATAATCAAATTGAGTTGTCATAAAAATGCAAAGTGTAAAAACAAGCTCCAGTATGATTTACTTCGTATTATATCCACAGCTTTAAATCGGGACGTAATTGTGATTCATTGTGTATTTTGCTACTGATGGGCGTGGTTCTCGGGACGAGGAACGCCTGTACATCGTGTTCAGTCTTTGAGAGTGTTTTAAGACAGGAAACATTACAGTGGTTTTAATTCTGTCGCTGGCCTTTTTTAAAACAATTTTAATTTTAGAATCAGTGATGCAATAGCATGGGTTCGGGTGGCGTAACTGTGTTATAAAATTATGTAGTTAACAAGCAGTCCATACATCATGACACAATGTGGTGCAGTTAAACGCTCAGTAAACGGTCTCTCCGAGAACAATGTTGGGTTGTGAGCGCAGATGAGATACGCCAGGTAGACGCGAATTGGCCGTCGCACGACGAGAGAAGCCAGACACGTGTGCAGCACTCTGCAACATAAATTAAGTAATTATCCTTATTTATTTTTAACGCGAGTAATTTGTAAATTAATTACAAACTTTACTTATTCAACTGATGATAAAATTGTAAACCGCAAGCCACGGATGTCATGAATTTTAATGAAGAACAATCTACAAGAAATATTTTAACACTACAATATGAATTAATGGAGGGGGGAAATATTATTTGTTTTTATTTTTTCTTTGCCTTCCATACCTTTCTTTTTTATTATCTTCCTTTATCGTTTTGTTTTTCCTTTTTAGTTCTTGGTTCCTCTCTGTTTCTTTCGCTTTCTTTTTGTTCCTGGTTTATTTAACAACGTTGTCGGTAGCTCATACTATATAGCGTCTAATAATAGGATGATTAATGAATGATGAATTGGAAAGGATGTGGAAGGAAGCCATCTTAGCCCAATTCGAGATACTATCCGTGCATTATCTCTTGATTTCTTTCCTAACGTCTACCTGTTTTTATTCTCTTTCTGTCACGTGTTTAATTTAGAACACATAATGGGAGAGGTTTCCAGCCTCCTTTGCTACTGACAATTCCTGAAACCACAGATCTTTGAAAAAGGTCCTTGGGACGAGAAGTGTGAAGGTAGCGGTCTTCCGGTGTGTCGCGCCGTACACAAAATGATTATGGAAGGCAGATTCTCTGAAACGTCGGTCAGTATCTACCAGGCTGCACGGTGCTGCATCTCAGAATACGGCCATCTTGAATATACAGCGGTTTCTCGTCAAAAACAAATGTACCACAAAAATATGAAACGAAATTATTTTCTATCCGTAGTGCGGAAGAGTCGAGACTGATTAAATATGTGGGTTCATAAACAGACTCCTCTGTTATCACACATCGCTACTCAGAATATAAATACATTTTTGTTATTTGTCATGACGCTGCTCCTAAGTTATCAATAAAATTGATAAATTGAATCTGATGGAAAGTAAAGAAACAAAATTCTCGACCCATATAAATACTCCGGTTCAATGGACACTTTGTGTCACGTCGGGAACATTTTAAGAAAAGTCAAGATTCTGAGGATGTTTGTGTTTGGTCCACAAACTATCTTGATGAAGGGAGCGGGAGATTTGTGTTCATTTAATATGAAAGGTTAGACCACGCCCTATTTATGAGTTATGTCATAGCGAGATCAGTTTAGTACACTCAGACTTTTATCCCACGAGGATGACATCAGGGGTTCAAAACCCGCGGTCCATACGTGGTCCGCCTGTGTGTTTTATGCGGCCTGTTAACCCTTTAGGAATACTAGGGTAAGGTACCCGATATCAGAAAACACGTGTTCTTAATTCCGTCATTATTCAGCAGTAACCATCGTTGTAACTTTACAGCTTATCGAATAACGTTTTAATGTAAATTGTAATTTAATATAGTGTCACCGTTTAACACCTTGCGCTTATACATATGTGCATACATACGTACTTTTAACCCAAAACCCACTTGAGGATAATATGCCTTGCGCGCTTCCATTCATATCCTTTCCAATTTGTTATTCTTCGGCAGTTCTGTCGTTCGATCCTGTAGAAAAAACACGAAACCTCAAGTCTTTCAGGTAAAAATTCTGTTTTATATGTCAAGTTGGTTTGTGAGATCTTATGAGCTGTCCGAAACGTAAAACGAGACAAGTCAAAAAGGTCACTGCTATAAATTGTTATCTTAATCCCTCTAGGATCAGCCAACAGCTGACGTTTCTGGTAAATTGACCTTCTAGTTCCCTCCGAGATGAAAGCTTACAAATGTTGTTTTCACCCGACCAC